TAGATAGATATATATAGATATATAACCATCAACCGTGATGACACAGCTGTTATCTCTTCAATAATGTTCATTTTTTTAAAATGTTTTCATTAACTATAATTCCTCAGAATCCTAACATTGCTCCTTCAAATGTTCCCTGTCAATCTCAGTCTAGAAGCACCTCATGTTTCTGTTTTTCATTAAAGAAAATGGTGGTTATTTATTATAAGAAAGCACATCCAGTGTACTGAAGATATCAACCTGTGTGTGTGTGTGTGTTTGTTTCAGGAGACTGGATGTGTCCGGTGAACAAGGGAGACGACAAGAAGAAGAAAGATGTGAACAAGGAGGAGGAGGAGGGCAGCGAGCCCAAAGGAGACCCGGAGATGGCTCCCATCTACCTGAGGAGACTTCTGCCTGTTTTTGCACAAACCTTTCAGCAAACCATGCTGCCTTCTATTAGGTAAACCAGACGGTTTAGATAAACTGGGAATTCTAATCTTTATTCTAACAGACGACGTTTACATGTGCAAAATATTCAGAAAAATACAATCTTCCTACTAAATATTTTATACGCAGCTGTGCGTACAACGTGCTTTCCTTCTTGGTCTATGCAGAATATTGTACAGTACATCAATTACAAAATAAAAGTCAACTTTCCCCAGTTTTAATGTGAAGCTTCAGCAGGTTTTCATTAGCAGTAACTTAATACAGCATTTGTTCTGGCATCAGGTTCATTTCATTGTGAGAAGCTAAAATAATTGATTAATATTGGATTCATTGTGCAGCTGTATATTCTTTCATAATGTTTAACAGTAGGTGTGTTTGCAGCTCTGCTCCAGCACACAGAGCTGACTGTAAACAGACAAACTGTGGTAAAAACCCAAATGAGACTCATATTCCCAATGTCCAAAGAATGTTCCTAATAATATAGGTCCCACATGTCTTAATGAGAAAATGCTCCTTTCGGAATGAGGCCAAATTAGGAATATCCAAACACAATATGCTGTTTCCTGTATTTTGTGCATGTAAACATAGTCTGTGATTAAACACAAACAGAACCACGACTGCCTTCATCTTAATTAAATTGGAGCAGATTAAAGAGTCACTGGCTGATGTTTTGTCTGTTAACTGAACAGAACCAGAAGGGACAAATCCGTCTTTGACTTTATAAAAATATACGAAAATGGAAAAAATGTTTCCGTTCATACGTGTTCAGGACTGTTGAGGTTACAGCTGGGTGTGTTTTTGTGTGTGTGTGTTCAGGAAAGCCAGCCTGGCTCTGATCAGGAAGATGGTTCACTACAGCAGTGAAGTGCTGCTGAAGGAGGTGTGTGACAGCGAGACAGGACACAACCTCCCCACTGTGCTGGTGGAGATCACTGCTACTGTCCTCGACCAGGAGGTACGCGCACACACTTTCCTCAGTTCTTCTGTGAAGCTACTATTTACTAAACCTTCAGGCTCAATCTGTCATGTAGTTGTTATTTGTGCAAGCAGAGACAAACTAACTGTACTCACAATGTTTGTGTCTCAGGACGACGACGACGGTCACCTTCTGGCTCTGCAGATCATCAGAGATCTGGTGGATAAAGGTGGGGACGTTTTCCTCGACCAGCTGGCTCGACTGGGAGTCATCAACAAGGTGTCCACTCTGGCTGGACCGGCGTCTGATGACGAGAACGAAGACGAAACCAAACCAGAGAAGGTAGAGGGACTGTGTGGGTGTGAGAGACTGTTGGTAGGATAAACTGTATTTAACGGGTTCAATAGATGCAAAGTGGAACTGACTGCAGTCATCTTTTGGGCATTGAGTATCTACACGCATACAGCCGGTTTATGATTGCTGTGGTTGATAAATACACGAACAGTGATGTTAACCACAGCTGTAAGTGCTGTCCTGTAGTGTCAAGAAAAACTCCAGTTTAATGTCGTGATAGTTTTTCTTAAAGAGAGGGAACCCTGTAAAGGTTTTTTTTAAGGACACTTTAAATTACTGTTTTTGAAGTTTTGATGCCCCAGAAGGAATAAAACAAGATGTTTTTTAAAAGGATGAGTGCATAGAACTGAACCATCTGTCACTGTTGGCAGGAGGAGGAGGTGCAGGAAGATGCGAGGGAGATCCAGCAGGGGAAGCCGTATCACTGGAAGGACTGGTCCATCATCAGAGGCAGGGACTGTCTCTACATCTGGTCGGATGCTGCTGCGCTGGAGCTCTCCAACGGCTCCAACGGCTGGTTCAGGTTCATCCTGGACGGGAAGCTGGCCACCATGTACTCCAGCGGGAGTCCAGAGGGAGGATCGGACAGCTCTGGTAAAGATAACAAACACACACTGCACTTATTTACCTCCAGTTTCCTGTGTTGTTGTGAACGATCTCCTTTCCTCCCCTCGTGCAGAGTCTCGCAGTGAGTTCCTGGAGAAGCTGCAGCGGGCGAGGAGTCAGGTGAAACCAGTAACAGCCAGTCAGCCCATCCTGTCCAGTGTGGGTCCCACGAAGCTGACGGTGGGCAACTGGTCTCTGACCTGCCTGAAGGAAGGCGAGATCGCCATCCACAACTCAGACGGACAGCAGGCCACCATCCTGAAGGAAGACCTGCCGGGCTTCGTCTTCGAGTCCAACAGAGGAACCAAACACTCCTTCACCGCCGAGACCTCACTGGGTGTGTCTCAGCATTTCCCAGCAGATCCACGACTCTTCCTGCAGCTGTTACAGCAACACATCAACATTAACTCAAAAACCTATGGAAAGTTTAAAATCTTGTAGTTTGAATTCACATCAGAAGCAGCTAGCTAGCAAGTCACAGTTTATTTTAATTGACACAGAAGCTTGATTTCCACTTGTGAAACAGCTACACAACCTGGCTGAACAGAAAGTACCAACAACATACAATTACTAACTTTACTATTACTAACTATAACTTTTCACATTATAACGTGATACTGATTCGTGTCTGGCAGAAATACACTGCGGACACAGCCTGTAGAAACACATAAAATCAAACCTACACTAACTCTGCTGTAAGCTGGGGTTTAATGGTCTTGTATTAGAAATAACAGAAACTGGTTCCACTGAAGAAGAAAGTAATTGATGAATTATACAGCTGTATTTTGATATGTCACATGACTGATGGAGCCCTGTGAGCAGGAATTAGTAGACTGTGCAGGGTCTTAAAATGTCTTAAAGACTTAAGTATGATTTTGACAGGTTTTAAAAATGGATTGGATTTATGAAAATAACTTCAGTTGCATAAAGTTTCATTTTTTCAATCTCTTAAATGTGAATTTGGGGAAAGATTTTTATTGATCATATTCTAACAACTACAAAACAGAACTGACATATACCAACACCGATTTTCCTTCATATCCTTTGTACCTTTTTGCCAGTATAGTTCATAGTGCTCTTAAAAAGTCTTAAAAACCTGCAGAAATATTTAGAAAGTAGTGGCTCAAAGATGGATCCTTGAGAAAGACCATGAGTCTCATATTTAGAGATGATCATTTGTTAGGAACCGATTCCAGGCAGTCCAGCGAGTCTTTTTAAAAGAAACTGATGATCAACGATATCATACAGCACTATGCACACACAGCACCTGCACTGCTGCTGTAGATTTATGTTGACGTCTGGCGTTTGTGTGTTTGTGTGTGTGTGCGTGTGCAGGCTCAGAGTTTGTGACGGGCTGGACGGGGAAGCGAGGCAGAAAGCTGAAGTCGAAGCTGGAGAAGACAAAGCAGAAGGTGAAGAGCATGGCGAGGGAGCTGTACGACGATCACTTCAAAGCTGTAGAGAGCATGCCCAGAGGGGTGGTGGTCACTCTGAGGAACATCTCCACGCAGCTGGAGTCCGCCTGGGAGCTGCACACCAACCGACAGGTACATAAACACTCTGGAGTTAATCCAGGATCCTAGAAGTCGTGCTTTAGATGTGTGTGTGAGATTTTCTTGTATTTATTATATTTATATTTGTATTTAATGTATGTTAACAGTGTATTGAGGGGGAGAACACATGGAGGGACCTGATGAAAACGGCTCTGGAGAACCTGATCGTAGTTCTGAAGGATGAAAACACGATTTCTCCGTATGAGATGTGTAGCAGTGGTCTGGTCCAGGCTCTGTTCACCGTCCTCAACAATGTGAGTGCTGCTCTTTAAATCCATCATCGAACCCACAGTACATCACGTATTCACCTTAAAACACGACTGAAGTCGCTGAGACGTCGGATGTAACGTGAGTTCTTCTGTCTGTCTGTGCAGAGTGTGGAACTGGACCTGAAACATGATTGTAAGCCTTTAATGGAGAGGATCAATGTATTTAAGGCGGCTTTCAGCGAGAATGAAGACGATGAAAGGTAACGGCGACAAACACGCACTGACATGTTCACATCCTAACTGTAAAGGCCCTGCTCACGCTCACGGTCTCTAATAACCCTACAGTCAGGGAGGTTCACTGGGAATTATACAATGTCACTAAACTAAAGACAGATAATCAATATTTCTCTAAAGATCTGAAATCCAGACCTCCAGGAAGTCTGTTGAGATTGAATCTGTTTTCTGAGGGAGACGTTGCCCAGACGGTGCAGATGGTGTTTAAATCTGAAAGTGTGCACCAAGAGGATCAGAAATGGAATATAATATTCATAGTTATGTTTTTTATAAGAATTACAGCTGAACGTAACCCTGTGTTTGTTTACAGCCGACCAGCTGTTGCCTTAATCCGTAAACTGATAGCTGTCCTGGAGTCTATAGAACGTCTACCTCTGCACCTGTACGACACTCCGGGCTCCTCATACAACCTGCAGGTGAGGCGCTGTGTTCTGGATCCAGCTCTGTTTTTGGTGCGTAGGTGTTTGTTGAAGGACAGACTCAATGGAAAGTGTTTGTGTTTTGTCAGATCTTGACAAGGAGGTTGCGGTTCCGTCTGGAGCGAGCGCCAGGTGAGACGGCTCTGATCGACCGGACGGGTCGCATGTTGAAGATGGAACCGCTCGCTACCGTGGAGTCTCTGGAGCAGTACCTGCTGAAGATGGTGAGGACTCGCTGAACACTTCAGACATACACTGATGGGGGAGAGCTCGGTTCAGTTTTAACCTCCTCTTCATCCTTCAGGTGGCGAAGCAGTGGTACGACTTTGAGCGTTCATCCTTCGTTTTCGTGAGGAAGCTGAGGGAGGGACAGACCTTCACGTTCAGACACCAACACGACTTTGACGAGAATGGAATCATCTACTGGGTTGGAACCAACGCCAAGTAAGTTGAAGGAGCTAAAGTCAAACTATATTTACTATTCTATATTACTGCTGTTTAACTGAGGACCTTTTTTAGCATCCTTTTACTTTAAAATGCTCTGTGTGGTGACTGTAAACGGCACATATGTTGTGCAGCATGTAGTTTTGGTCTGATATTCCAGACATATTAAACCTGGTCACTTTTCTCTGTTCATTGACTTATTGAATATGTTTAATGTTTCATCATCACAGCTTGATTTTAATCTAATCACACCTCATTTCTGCCCCACTCAGGACGGCCTATGAGTGGGTAAATCCCGCTGCCTATGGCCTGGTGGTGGTGACATCATCAGAGGGGCGGAACCTCCCCTACGGGAGGTTGGAGGACATCCTGAGTCGGGATAGCTCCGCCCTCAACTGCCACACCAATGACGACAAGAACGCCTGGTTCGCTGTCGACCTCGGGCTCTGGGTCATTCCCTCAGCGTACACCCTGAGACACGCCAGGTAATAAAACAAACCAACCTACACTCTGAGACACCAGGTAATAAATAAATAAATCAAATACATTTAATAGTGTTTCTCCTCCTCCTCCTCGTCCTGCAGGGGTTACGGCCGCTCTGCGTTGAGGAACTGGGTGTTTCAGGTGTCGAAGGACGGCCAGAACTGGACGACTCTCTACACCCACGTAGACGACTGCAGCCTCAACGAACCGGGGTAAGACCTGTGCCAATAAACGGATCGATGGATCAGCTGTAAGAAAGTGTGTTGCCTCCAACAGGACGAATAAATGAACCCTAAGAAGCTGACGTCTACAATCATTATCTGTGTGTGTTTGTCAGGTCGACGGCCACGTGGCCTCTGGACCCGTCCAAAGAGGAGAAGCAGGGGTGGAGACACATCCGGATCAAACAGATGGGGAAGAACGCCAGTGGTCAGACTCACTACCTGTCTCTGTCCGGACTCGAGCTGTACGGCACAGTCACCGCCGTCTGTGAGGACCAGCTCGGTAAGGCCGCCATCCATTTTACGTCTCTCTGTTAAAGGGCCACTGTGGAGGATTCAGTGGCATCTAGTGGTGAAGAGTACTGCTCAGCCTTCGAATGTATAGTAGAAACTACGGACACTGCAACACTACCTGAAACCTTTCTCTCTGTCCTCCCCCCTCAGGTAAAGCTGTGAAGGAGGCGGAGGCGAACCTTCGTCGTCAGCGGCGCCTGTTTCGTTCCCAGGTGATGAAGTACATCGTCCCGGGGGCGCGGGTCGTCCGTGGCATCGACTGGAAGTGGCGTGACCAGGACGGCAACCCGGCCGGAGAAGGCACAGTCACCGGAGAGGCTCACAACGGTAAGACCGGAGCGGACCGGCAGATAGTGGAAAATAAAAACGTGTTGTTCCTCCTGCAGCTTCAGACGACCGGTGGAGTCACAGTCGACCTCTATTTAATCAACTCATGTTAAACATCTTTTCTCCTCTCAAGGTTTTCTTTGTAGGGCTCCAGCTCCATGTTTCTGCACTCTGAGGATCAACTGGGGGAAGATATTTGTGCCAGCAAGTTCTGAATTTAGGAATTCACATTTTGGTGCAAAGCCTCAGTTGTTTAAATTTAGATCAAAGTCAAACACGAGCAAAAATAAATCAATTATAGTACGTGTGGGGTTTTTAGGTTTCCTATTCTCTGTGGAAACTAACTGCTGCTGACTTCTTAATGCTAATAGAGCTGCACGTTATGGTTCAAACATCATATTAAAATTATTTAGATGGATTTTACATTGATTAGCGATTAATGGGAATGATCATTTTTGCACCACAAATGTAATTTTCATTGAAAAAACTATTAAAATCATGTTAGTGGAAATTATTTTTGGTGTCGATACCAAACAAATATGTTTTCTTAAATCTAGAGAACAAGATTTGTCGGCCAGAGTATCTCTAAAGAACTTGGTTAACTCTTAACTTCTGCTACTGACCAGATACGGCAACCTTAAAGAGTCAAAACTCCCAGAAGAGTGTATTTATTTATATTTCATATTTTATTTATTATTCTTAGAAACTAGTATTTTATTTTCCACATTTAGTGTGTCGCCTGACGTGTGATGTGCTCAGTTAAATCAGACACTGAATCAGATTTATACTGAGGCATATTTCTAAAAACAGTTTCACAAATCATAATGAAACGTATTAAACTGCTGCAATCAGCAAATCGACCCAGACTTTAGGTAAAAGACGTGACCCAGACAAAACTAAGTGAAAATTTCTGTCATAAATATATAAATATTGCCTCCAGATTTAGGAACAAATTAATTTATTAAGGTCGACTAACAAACGGAGCTGCTGGATGAAAAATCTGCTCACAGTCGCCGTCATTCTACGAAACAGGATCTGAACTCAGCAGGTTCCTGTAAGAAGGAAGGAACCGTTCTGCATTAACCTTTTTCTCCCTGAACTTTCCTCCACTCGACCTTTAACACCTCTCACCACATCTGTCTGTGCTGAGGTTTCACAGTCAGCTGCCAGGATGGGGGGGGGGGATAGTCAACAACACAATCTGGATCCATATCTGATC